AAGTGTATCATTTTATCCAAATATTAAAATGGTTATCGATATACACAATCGTATTGGCAAATGTTATCAGGAAACGCAAAATTATACATCAGCTATGGAGCACTATAAAAATGTGCTGGAATTTTATGAAAAAATGACATTGACCTATTCAGAAATTAAAATTTCTAAAATACATCTTGAAATTGGTCAATGTTATCAACAAATAAAATGCTAGACACTATGTATTCAACATTATTCCATAGTCTTGCAAATGACACAGTCTATAGAACTATACGATATGAAGACTACATATTGATATTGGTAATAGTTATGCTGAATTAAAAGATTATAGATCGACCATTAAACATTATATTGAAGTAAGTAATATGATTGAACAAAGGAGTGATTTTGACGATGAAATGACCATTACTTCCATAAATGATTCAATTTGTTGGTATTATATTTTGATTGATGATTATTTGACAGCTTTACATTATTGTCAAAAATTATTACTAATTTATAAAAGATTTAAATCAAACAATAAACAACATTACATAGAAGGATATGTTAAAACTTGTGGTAGATTAGGTTTGATTTTGTATAAATTAGATGATTACATCGAATCTTTTACATATTGTATAAAATCCATCAATACTTACAATGATTGTTTGAAATCATTGTACATTGTACTGAATACAGCTATTGCTGATGTTTATGCAATATTAGCAGATATTTATTTTAAATTCAACGAGATATCACTTGCATATAATTGTTATCTAGAAGCATTAAAGCTTTTTCATCGAAATACTGATCCGGATTCATTATCACACAAAGGTATTAAACGTGTTCACAAGTTATTGAAACAACTTAAACACATGAACTAAAATAGCTACCGTAATACTTTAGCACATGTGAAATATTTGTGAAAGTATGCACAGTACTCATTACAATCTGTCTGACTATACCGTTACAAAAGAAAAGAAAAAATTTTATCATCTGTTAGTCAGGCTTATTAAAGTAAACCAATATAGTACTTTCATGTTCTATGTAGATAAGGTATAAAGAGAAAAGATGATAACTTTCGAACTATTCCAACATCCATATGGGCTAACGAAACTTCGATAAAATAGGTATAGATGTAGGTTGCTATCAACCATTATGAATTCCTTCATGAATCTTCCCTGTTCTCTGTATGCTTAAAAAAGATCACTTTATTATTTAGTTCGTGTATAAATTGATAAGCTAAGAGCTTCAGACTGAGTACGAACCTTGATAGGACCTATCATGAACTTATTTTTTTATTTCTGCTAAATAATCGATATAATGTTGTAAGAATAAACAGGGGCGTAGCGAGGCCTTCGAGGCAGGAGGGGGGTAATGTCTCCACTCATATCAATCAAGCCGTTATACCGCTGAAAAAGAACACCTTTTTTCTATTTTGTCGTTCAAAAACAACGAAATTTTCAGAAACAGGAGGGGATTACTCCCCGCGGTCGCTACGCTCCTCAGAACAAAGATATTAGAACTTAATGAAATCCAGAAATAATTCAGTTTTATTTATAGACTCTCTTAGGATCTTCGACTTTTATAACCAACAGCAAATCATACTACATAACACAGCTGTTATTAGAATAATTGCTTTATTCATAATGTAACTTTTGATGTGAAAGTCCAAATTCTCCTATAGTTGTGGATGATTTGAAGTAGTACGAATACTGTGTGCTCTCTTCTCTTTTTTTCTTTCGGTTTTTAAGTAGTAGCTGGAATATCTAACATCCTTTCCCTCTTTCCCTCCAACTAACATACTTTAGAGGAAGTAAAAAATATATAATGTTCGAAAAATTTTAACTGATAGCGTTCTTCACCGCCATCACTTATGATTACTGAAGAGGAGGGGGAAGTTCTATGGGCTTCAGTCAGTTCCACTCAAATCCAATGAGTTCCGAAGGGTGCGAGCTCATTGAAATTGAATGAAGCTAATTGAAGCTGATTGAAACTCACGCGGAACTGAGTGAAGCTGCTTGGAACTCATGTGGAGCCATCTGGTAACACCGGAGCTATAGAGCTGCTTTCCCCCCCTTGTTACTGAATCACACTAAACATGTTCTCCTTTTTGCATTCTCCTGCTTTTATTAATCAGCGTAATTCTATTCTTGCGTGTGATTTGATCTCAGTTGTATGTACAGTTGCAGGTTTAGTCATGTACATAGTCAAAAAGTGATTTAATGGCTTTTTCCTCTTTCTTTTGTTATTCTATTCACTTCTTCAACTATAAATTTCTAGACTTTGTTTATATTTTTCATATGTCAAACCATAATGTTTTGTTGCCTCATAACAATGAGCAAGTTTATAATAGAATTCAATATTACTAATTTTTCTATTACCATCATCATCTGTTATTAGTGTTTGTTTTAGATTCTATAGCTCTATTATATAGTTTAGTTTTAATAAATAAATGACCAATATTAATTTACATATTAACAGTTGTTAGAGATTGTTCTACTTGAATTGGATAATTCATATCAATTTCTATAGCTTTTAAATAATAAATTATACTTGTATGTTCATCATTCAATACAGTATAATAATAACGAACTGCGTAACATAAATCATATTTTTCTTGTTGATACTGATGTTGATTATCATCATTGTTATTATTGCGTAAATATTCATCTATTAGTGACAATCCTTTAAGTAAATAATCAATACCGATAGAATATTCATTTTTTTTCACCATACAAGTCACCAATTTCTGTATAGCAATGTAGAAATCTGTAACTATTTGATCCTCTACTCCATGTGCTTCCATTATTGTTAATAATTGTTTGTATTGATTAATAGCTAAATGATATTCGTGTATATGAAAGTAAGACCCTCACCCCCACCCTCACAGTCCCATTCTGTCCTGGATTCGATTCCCAGCCGAGATGGATACTTTTCTTCCTTCTATCAAAAAAGCTGCTGGTAAAACCAATTTTCTATATAGCTTACATGATCGCAGTTATATAAATCAATTCGATTCTCCATTGAGATTTTCAAGCTGACAAAACTGCTGTTACCATTCAATGAAAAACTTCAACATCATAGATTGACAACAATCAGAGCGAATTGGTAACTTTTTTCTAGGCAGTTTTACTTATTGTGTGGGTGTCTTTTCTAGATCGTCATCCTTCTAGATCTCCCATCCTCATCCTCAGCGGATTTTGAGAACAAGAACTATATCAGAACGGTGAGCAGTAGGAAAAGGTTCAACAATCAAAAGAATGTTTGAACACTGCTGGAGAAACCTGATAAAATTCGGGAAAATCTTTAAAAAATCCGAATCCTCTGTGTCTTCCTTGGTATTCACGTGTCCTAGTTTTATTAAATCTTGCAGCAGATGGCAAGCGTTGACGGATGAGACGGCGATTGAGCAGTCCACTATTGGTTCCATTCACATAGCTTCACTTTGCATTTTCATCATCTCATGCATGCTTTCTTAGGTGGATCAATAGGATTTGGGTGATCAATATACATTTTTCTTTTTTAACCATATGATTGATGAATGAAACCTGAGGATAGAAAGAATATCATGCGTCAATTATTTATAACTACCCTCATGCATGTGCGGATTGAAGGTTTTTTCTAAACCTTATCCTCCAAAAATGTATTTAATTCGTAAAGAACACTATTTATACATCAATCGGTAGCATATGCTTCGCATTTTTCAATTTATGGCAACATAAGGATGATGGAGTTATTTATTCACATACAGGGTGTTCCAAAAATTCGATCGAAAAAAAAATTCCATGTCTCCACTCTGCTTTAATCAATCGGTCTAATTTTTTTCTCAATGATAGAGGAGACTTTAAAGTTTTTTTTCGTAATAAAACCGTTAACACATACTATTTTGAACCATCACTTTGACTTCAATATCGAAATGTACCCATTTTCGATTTCTAAAAAAGCACTTTGGAAGGAAATTCCCCGAAATGATTAATTTTGACCTGAAACTTTGGCCAAAGCGAGGTCTCACTCAGGCTAGCTTCCTTACAAAATTTCAGATTTTTTCGATATAGTCTTTCCGAGATATGAATTTTTCAAATTTTGCACAATATCGATGAAAAAGCGCCTAAATTTTGAAAAATTCATATCTCGGAAAGACTATATCAAAAAATTCTGAAATTTTGTAAGGAAGCTAGCCTGAGTGAGACCTCGCTTGGCCAAAGTTTCAGGTCAAAATTCGAAACTATAAATTTTCTTCGAAAAACTGGGGTCATCGAGGAGATAACCCACTAAAGATTCCACATGTCAGCCAAAACTGCACAACAGCATGAATCTTTTGAAGCTCATTATAGTCCAGTGGTCCTCTAGCAATAAGAAAAATATGACCTCAAATGCTTCTAACCATCATATGGGCTCAAAAGCTTTTAATCATCTTGGGGACTCGCCCTCGAAAGCGTTTGTTAAAAAATCTAAAATGGGTACATTTCAATATTGACGTCAAAAGTGATGGTTCGAAGTAGTATGTGTTAACGGTTTTATCATGAAAAAAATTTTTAAAGTCTCCTCTATCATTGAGAAAAAAATTAGACCGATTGATTAAAGCAGAGTGGAGATATTGAATTTTTTTTTCGATCGAATTTTTGGAACACCCTGTAAAGCAGAATTTAGATACATAAGAATATAATCAGAATGATTCGGTGATGGTCAATAATAACATTTGCTTAGCATCAAGTAACTGCTTATGTTAATGACCATAGCGATATTTTTGTTTTCAAGACATCGACTCATATTTCTATTCAGTATACTGTGATCTCACTTTCTTAATTCTCTAAATCAACATAAAGGATGGAACTCCTAGTAACTCGTATTTCTATGCATTTATATATGCTTTGAAACACTAGATGGAACAATAACAACAAAAAAACAGATCAGTTTTCATCGAAAATTCATGTTGGAATATGTATTATCGCGCAATATATACAGGGTGCGATTTATGTTCTTGCAATTTTGAATTGGCTGTAACTTTGTAAATATTAATGTGCTTCGCATCAATTTTTTTTATTTTCATAACAAAATGTCCACAAAACAAAGTTACAATAGCAGATTTTCAAAATGCCCTCCGCGTGCCGTGATACAAGCCTTCAAACGCTTGGGGAAGTCATCCACGATTGCCACACATTGTTCGATGGTTATTTCATCCCAAGCTTTCTCCAGAGCAGACTTCAGCGAATCCAATGAAGCGTGGCTTGTAGCACAGGCTTTGCTCTCCAAGACTGACCACACCGAATAATCCATAGGGTTGAGATCGGGCGAAAATGGAGGCCAAACTTCTTTGTCCCACGCATCCGGAAAAATCTCCTTACAAAGTGAAATCGCCGATTTTGCGGAATGCGCTGGCGCCCAATCTTGTTGCAAGGTCCACATTGGATTTTTGAAGTGGCGTTTGGCCCAAGGATTTAGGATATCCTTTAGAATGCGTTGTTGGTAGACCGCCGAGATGATTTTTGACTCTTCTTGAAAAATGTCAAATTCGGGTAGAGCACAAAATCTTACACCTACCTGTGCCTTTTCGCAACATTTGCTGATCATTTTGTCGATTGTAGGCACGCTCAACTGTGAGGATTTTTTCGTTGATAAAAACTATAGCCCGATGACGATTTTTTGTGATCAACTTCGGCATCTTTCGCGATTTCTGGAGCCGTTTCGCTTTCGTTTCCTCTCAAAGCGATTGTCCCGTCGAGAGCTTGTATGAGCGGAGTTCCAGCTTCTTTTCCACGATTTTCCGGACTGAAAATTCGCTGATTCCAATCGATTTTGCCATTGCTCCCATCGATCGCTCTGGATTTCGCTTGATTCGCTTCCGGATCTTCTCCCGATTGGCTGGAGTGGTGGCAGTGACAGGTCTTCCGCTTTTCGGACGGTCCTTGATCCCGCCAGTCTCCTCATAACGCTTGATCGCCTCGTAAACAGTCCTCAGCGGCATTTTAAACATCTTGGAAATGATGTTTGCTTTCTTTCCTGCCTTGTGCAAAAAAATCACTGACAATAGCCTTTCTTTTGACATCTGAAAAAATATTTTGCTCTTTTTTTACACTGTAAATCAATGCCAACTTATACAGAATTTTCTGAAGAACAAAAATCAATTTACAAAAAATCGACAAAGAAGAAAATTTGTAGATACAATTGCACAAATTCAAAATTGCAAGAACATAAATCGCATCCTGTATTCGTTTCGTCTTTAGCAAAATATATCTTTCAACACACATAACTAGTAAAATGAGATATTTGTAATGACGTCAAAAAGCTCATAACAAATATTTTTCACTTTCTCAGCTATATAAAAAAGACGGTTTGGTCTTATATCAAACTACTCAAATTCTGTTCTTAAGTTGATTATGAATTACCGATTGATAGGTAGCGTGCTACTTTTACTGCGCATTAGCTCGATGTCTACACGAACACTCTATACATGTGATCACTATTTACTCTCTTGTGGATGTGGTTATAACAATGTTGACTCACATCATCAAGAATTGTCAGTGGTGAAGAGGCAATACCTTTGAGCTGGTCAGTGATAGTTTCCATCCAACATCGTTCATCTCACATACACTTCTGTGGTGGTTCTATTCTAGCAGATTTATATATTCCTACAGCAGCTCATTGTGTTGATGGTAAACCACCAGATCAAATATTAGTTGCCGCTGGTATTCACAATAAATCCGAGGAAAATAACTTGGTTCGTCGAGTTGGTCAGATTTTTGTTCATCCTAACTGGTCATCGTATCAAAACCAGCATGATATTGCAATTTTGCGTTTATCGCAACCACTCGAATTCATCTATAACCGATTCCTAACACGAACATGTATACCACATGTCCACTGGCCTAATAATATTCAAGACTATCCATCTGCTGGCACACGGCTAGCGGCTATCGGTTGCGGTCGTACACAAATGAATGATAGTGCCAGTTCACCAGACAATCTTTTACAAGTTGAAGTATTCGCAACTGATAACAACGATACAATCTGTAATAAATCACTGTATGATACAGAAATACAATTTTGTGCTGCACTCTATGCAGGTGGTAAAGGTTAGTTTCAACTGATTTCTGTTTCTCTCATATTTATTATCTCTTCTCTTATTCATTATAGATACTTGTCAAGGTATGTACTCCATAGTCTATTATTGATTGCCATTATAAATTCTGTTTGATTAGGCGATTCCGGTGGACCACCATTACAATGGCTAGGAAATCGGTGGGAACAGGTAAAATAATGTTAGCATAGTACTTATACTGTTCAATCTGACGAGGAAACATATCCAACTGCAGGACGCCGTTTGACCTCATCTTTTGGCTACGAGTAGGACTCAGTGAGACTAAGAAAATTTTACTAGAAGGTATATCTTTTATACAGCTAGTTTGTCTTATCAACCAAAGATCAAATGTGTAGTGTCAACCAATACGAAATGAAAATAGTATATGATTTATTAATGTAGGCCGGTTTCGTATTCTTCGTCAGTACATTAACAGTACAATAGTAAAAAAGACCGGGCTTTATATACCATAAAGCAAATATGGATGTTATGCTGTGTCATAGATAACAAAAGCAAAAAAGAAGAAAAAACAAAAAATGAACTAT